TGACACTCCAAGGGTTGGGGACTCTGGAGGGATGTTTCTTAGGATTGAGAAGCAAGGATGGAGTTCAGGAGCTGGAAGAAGATTGTGTGTCTTTGACACACCAAAAATACCACCTTTGTCCCTCATCTTCACCCATTATTCTGGAGAGTAGATGTGCAATAAAGGCACCAGTGATCCAGTTACCATGTTGGGTAGGGAAGTTTGTGCTCTTATCTAGGTGGCAACAAAATGAGAATAGGTGTCACGTACTCCATTGCCCTTGGGCAGTGTCTGCAGCTGGCAGGACTTGTGGATGTGGACAGATGTTTGCTTTTGGATCCAGCTGTGCTGACTGGAGACCTCATCCCCACCATGGAGGTTACCTCTGACAGATCTGCTGCCTGAAGAAGGATCGGGAGGGCTGTTGGATCCTGCAGTGATTGGAGCTATCCCAGCCAAGCAGCTTGTGTCACATGTGGCCTAACCTGAAGGAGCTTCCAGTCCCCAGCTGGGGAGCAACACAAACTGCTCCACACTTGGAGTGGGGGAGCACAGCTGGCGGAAGTGCAGTTTCCTGCTTGGGCACAGCCATCCATGCATCACCCACAACATCTTCCCCAGCAAAGACTCTGCACTGCTTTCCCTCTCACCAAGCTTTTAAGGCTAATGGAATCTGTGTGGCAAAGAACAACACTCACATACAGCAGTTCCTTCTTAATCCTCTTTTAATGACTGCTTTGAAAGCACCCGGCATTGCAGGAGAAGAGCCCAGATATCTGGAACAACGGGATATAACTCTGTGTTCATATGAGCTGTTTGGGTGTTTTCAGGGTTGGAGCCAAAGCAATTGCTCTCCCACCTTGCATCTCTCACTGTAAGAGTGGAACAGGTAACTAATGCAGGCTGTGGGGAAATTCTCCAGCTCTTCCATGGACTTCACTGTTTCTCCCAGATGCATGGAACTTCTGGCTCTGGCATTACAGCATCATTAGAGTCTGACAGAGAGGCAAGAGCACTTTCTTTGCTCTAGAAAATCAGAGTGCTGGAACGAAAAGCACACGTGTGTATCGCTCATGTCAAATCCTTTACCTATAATCAATTCTGATGCTAGAACTAGTTTCAAAGGGACTCCCAAAGCACGAGGAGCAAACCCAGCCTCATCTGTCCTGTGCTGATTCAGGATTTCAGCTTCCTGTGGCTTGATTCTTGTGTGTGGGGGTGGTCATATCCCATGGTGGTGACATTCCTGTTTCCCACATTTTCTTTGGCTTGCTCTGGTTAAGAAGCTCTTACGTTGCACTGGATTATTATTTTACTGTAACATGTGGCCTGTGCTGTTCTCCTCCCACCAGTAGCTGGTTTGGGTGTTTAACTCCTGTCAGTGGGGCACCTGCAGCAAGGCAGGGCTCTGAAAGAGCTAGGAAGAGCTGAAGGACTGGTTGGAGGGAGCAGTCCCTCCTCCTGGCTCCAGGGAAATCACAGCGTCGTTCTTATCCCTGTTCCTCAGCAGTACCACCCTTCTGCCCAAGAGATTCCAGCTCATGTCTGTTTGGGAGGCAGCTTGTGATGGCTTCTTTGTCAATTTTAAGCAAAACTGGCTACCAGTGTACTTGGCTACCACTTTCAGTAATGCAATAGAGATTGCTTTCTTCCTGAACGTTAACAGGAGAAAGCTGGCAACAGCCTGGACATTGTGGCAGTGCTCTGCTTTTTAAATGTGACTTTGTCAACTGCACATACAACAAGAGAAGCAAAATTTTTTTAAAACACCTTTTCCCCCCTAATATGACATCAGAAAATAAACCATGCTCTTTCCTTCACAGCAACCTCTTCTGAGTTGAGATGGGGATAGCAGTGCCCTAGCAGCACCTCCTTGGTGAGGTCGGTGAGCTCAGGTTGTGTTCAGGTGCCTAAATGGAGCTCCAGCTTACTGAGGAGCTTTCCCCTCTTTCCAGTATCCCATATGCAAAACACAACACCTACCTCAAAGAGCTGTTGCCATGGTTCATGTGCGATGATGTGGGGCTGTAGGGCCTAGTGTTGTGCATCAGTTAGTGGTAAATAGGGCCAGTGGTGAAACCTGTATTCTTGACAATTCCTACAGACTTGCCCCATCCTGCCATTTGCTGGCTTCTGTTCCAGCAGAACTGGGAAAGGCAGACAGAGTATGGCAGCAGAGGCCACGTGCTGGAGAGGGCCACCAGCCTGGACTGCAGTTGTCATTCAGAGCAAAGCTGGACTGCAGTACTGAGTTCTTATAGAATCCCAGGCTGGTTTGGGTTGGAAGGGACATTAAAGCTCATTCAGTTCCAACCCCTGCCATGGGCAGGGAACACCTTCCACTAGAGCAGGTTGTTCCAAGCCCGGCCAACCTGGCCTTGAACACTGCCAGGGATGGGGCAGCCACAGCTTCTCTGGGCAACCTGTGCCAGCACCTCAGCGCCACCACAGCACCTCAGCACCCTCACAGGGAAGAACTTCTGCCTAAGAGCTCATCTCAATCTCCCCTCTGTCAGGTTAAAGCCATTCCCCCTTGTCCTGTCCCTACAGGCCCTTGTCCAAAGCCCCTCTCCAGGTTTCTTGTAGCCTCTTCAGGCACTGGAGCTGCTCTAAGGTCTCCCCTTAAGGAGCCTTCTCTTCTCCAGGCTGAACCAGCCCAGCTCTCTCAGCCTGTCTCCAGAGCAGAGCTGCTCCAGCCCTTGCAGCATCTCCGTGGCCTCCTGGTGAATCCTTGTGGCTGACCATTTTCCCATCTTTCAGGTTTGAAAACACTTTTTAAACTGCTGTAGACAAAACTAACAGGCACTGAGGGCACTTCCTGGTGGTTTCTTGGGTCTTTTGCACTTGCTAGTGGGGGAAGAGCGATCTTGTCTATCCTGAAGTGAGGAAATCCTATGTGACTGCAGCTACTGTCCCTCCGCAGATGAGTGTGCTGCAGTCACAAGCACACCCTTTTTTCCCATCACTCTCAGGGCTGGGTGGGTTTGGTTGTATCCCTTCCCTTTCAGTAACAGGAAAGTAACTTGTCATAAGAATTTATAACCTCTATTTAATTAATCAAAAGATTTTGAAAAGGCTATCATCACATCATCTTAAATCTGTAATGCTTACTGCAGCTCAAAGTTCCTGGTAGGGTGTAGTGAGCCCAAGTGTCTGCTCAAGGAGTTTGGTCTCAAGGACTAAAATTGGTAATTATTTGCAACCTGTTTGTGCTGATTCCTATACCAGATTATTTCCCTCTTGGAAAGGGAATCATGTGCACTGGCTTTTACTGGCATCAATATCCAATCCAAGCTATTAATTACAGTTAGAAGCTAAATAGGCATTAACAATTTTAGCAGCACTTTCTCCCTTGCAGCTGGCTTCAGTTTTATCTATTGAAATCCTGTTGTTTTTCAGCCAACCTCCCTTCCCTCCCTCACCCCCATCCCCAAGTGCTCTTTAAGAGCACACCTGCACCACGCAGGGAGCTTTGTACTGTGATCCTGGCCAGCACATGGATGTGGTTACAGTGTCTGCAGGCTCTGCCAGGAGCTGAACATTCCTATGTGTTGGAAATAAAAAAGCATCTCTGAAGCACATGGTGAAATGTTTGATGCAACTTGTTCAAGCTGTGGGAAACTCGGATTCAAGCATGAGTGCTCTTTCTTTCCCCCAGCCCTAGGGGTGAGATTGTG